GGCACAGATAGAAGATCCTACTCCACCGGAGGGGGAAGGGGGAAGGGGGTGCTTCCCACCGCCGCAGACCCCCCGCGCCGGTGGGGGAGGGGGGGGGAATTCTGGGAGTTGAAGTCCACCCCTCTTAAAGTTCCCAAGGTTGAGAAACACTGCACTAGAAGTTCATCTTCAGAACAGCTTCTGTGCCATTCAATCTTCCTGACTTCCAAACGTGGCCAGCCAGCCCTTTGGATTTCTGCCCCAAAGCCCCACAAAGACTACACCCCTGCCTGGCCAATGTTCTTCCCATTGATGCTAATCTGAGCATTAAAGGAAAGGCGGCGGGGCCCAGCCACCAGGTGAGGAAAGAGAGCCCCACACTGCTTCATCCTTCCGAGGGCTGCCAAAGTGCAGGACCATTCCCAGTCCTGTCCCTTCTAGCATACCCCTCCTCTTGCTTACAGACCAGACACCCCCCTCCCGGCAGTGGCCAGAGGTCCGAATGGGACATGTCCCCCCCAGACTTACCACCTCCCCTCGGCTGGTTCGGCAGTCCTATTGCTGCTCCAGCAGACGCCAAGCACGGGCGCGGAGCAAGGGTGTGCGTGCGTTTCCGTGCCTGCAGGCAATCGCCACCCCGGCTTTCACGGTTCTGTGCTTCTGAAGGTCACTGCAGGCATGATGCGCATTCCTTCACCGTCCTCCTCCTCCTCTTCCTCCTCCTCCTCCTGCTGCCACTTTTCAATAACTCTGTTTAAAGGTGCCTCTTCCTTTTCATCCCCCGCCCCCCCAACAGCACAGATGGCTTGGAAGCCACAGGGACCTTTTCTCCGCAGCCTGAAACAATCTGTTTCGTCGGGTACCAGATGCTCTTCTGGACAGAACGGAAACCCTGGGCAAGGAACCTCCCCCAGCCATCTGCTGGCTCGGCGGAAGAAGAAAGAACAGTTCAGAACTTGGAAGTCACAGATTTTCAATGGTTTTCAGCAGTTTCTGAGCGGAGGAGCAGCCCAGAAGCGAGGCGCCGGGCATGGACTTAGCAGCGTGGCAGTTTGAGCCTTACGGGAGCATGAAGTCCCTTTCAGCAAGCTACACCAGTGATTTTCAACCTCGGCAATTTTTAAGAATTCCCCAGCCAGCATGCTTTAAGATGCGTGGACTTCAACTCCCAGAATTCCCCAGCCAGCATGCTTTAAGATGCATGAACCCAGCCAACAGTGGCTTGTTCAACAAATCATGGCTAAAACGAAACATATCCTAGCTTGATGTGGGAACCCAGCCACTCTCTGGGATGCATTTAAGCAGCATCTTCCAGAACAAGACCACGTGATTCACCTTGTCCTGGTTCTTCCAAGTCATGCAGAACTGATAAATGCAGGACAGCACAACAGCTGGTGTTTACACACTGTAATCATATGCATGTTCTTTATGTGGGCACAGTCGGGCCAACAGACCTATGCATTTATCGAACTTTATATCAAAAAAAGGATTCATTCATTCATTCATTCATTTCAGAATTATAGTCCTATATCCAAGATTACTTAAATGCCCCAAAAATGCGGAAGAAGAAAGGAGGAGGAGGAGGAGGAGAAGGAGAAGAAGAAGAAGGAGAAGAAAGAAAAGGAGGAGGAGGAGGAGGAGAAGGAGAAGAAGAAGAAGGAGAAGAAAGAA